TGCAGTTAGGCCAGGTCATCAGTAACCCAAATTTAGAAGGTGACTATAGCCCCATTTACAATACAGAAAAACCCGTAAAAATGTTGGCATAGACTGTTAACAGTCCCCTATTTTTTCGTGAGATCGTTGAGATAAAGCGCGTCTTACCGTTAATGATGGCCATCTTGATTTTCAAATGTACCGAGGGGGCGGGCGTCGGGGATTATAGCTCTAAGGGGAGGGGGGCGAGACGACAACTTTATCGACGACAACCGGAAGTGAATTACAGGGTACTGCGGAAGCGCGACCAGTAAGTTTCGTCGTCGTGGTGTCGTCGACGACGCCAAACAAAGTAGAATCACGTCGTCCTGCAATCCACAAACTTCGGCAGGTATAAATCCACTGTTTTAGGCGATTTTTGAAGTCCTTTGCATTTTCTTATCCTCTTAAATCCAGGTATCGTTTCTTTTTTCTCCTAACGAGCGATGTTGATTGAAAATTCGACTAATGAATTGTTTTTACTTCGAAGAATGACAACAACTGTGAAGGCCGAGCGACCCAACTCGTAAGTGATAAATATATTTGTACGTATTTTAATTTAGGTAAGGCAAATCAGCATCTTTAATATAGAGAAAATAAACTTTATATGGGTAACAGCTATCACATCAGAATGTCTCTTTTTCCAAATCTAAACTCTTACAGAGACTCGAACTTGGTCATCTCATTCAGGTTGAAAGTTGAATAATTTCGAGCGGAAAGTAGGTGTTTTTCCACTTGAAAAGGTCAGACATCACAAAAAATTCTTCATCGTCAATGAAATTAAACGTACGGCTTAAAAATTACGACCTTGTGTTGTTTTAAAAGACGCCACTGCGAAAAACTTTGTTGCGAACGAACATCACAGTTTTTCATTTGTGTTTACATTCAGTGTCGTCGTCGTCGACCTACCGACCGACTGCATCTTAAGTTTCCTTTTTCCTGCCGAAACTGAGGTTCTCGTTCCAGTCTTTTCCCAGTCAACAGCCCACGTCGTCGTGAACTTCGTCGTGGTTCTTAAGTTCCCTATTTTTTCCGTGTAAACCTTCCGTACTATGTTTTCCTGAAATGGATCCGATCCGGACTCGCTTTTTCTGGTTTTGGGGCCATGGGCGGCTATGGCCCCAAAACCTAAAAAAAAAAAAAAAAAAAAAAAAAAAATCGAGGCCGGATCCCTTTCGCTGTTCGAAAGCGCTGTGTAGACCTATCTTCGTTCCGTACCATCTTCTTTATGTGAGCCTGTCGTAGTTTACGGTGGTTTCGCGCATGTGTACTATTGCACTTTTCAATCATAAGCTTAACCTGATTGGTACCCGTGTAAACGGTTAAAAAAAATTGGTCCGGACCGCTTTTTAAGGGGTCCGAACCCGGATTTTTTGTAGTATAAATGAGACTTATGGCTCCGAAAATTCAATTCTGCCTGAGGGAGATTACGTGAAAAACAAACCAACAAACAAAAAAAAAGACCCGTTCTGAAACCCGGGCTAGGTAAACCCGACTTGTACCCTGGTTGACTGGTTTAACCAGTCTTTGATGCACGGATGAGCACGGTTTCTATTAAACCAGGCCTCACCGACGTTTCCGTATCGTAATAAAGGTAACACTTGAAAGACACAGTTAACAGCCATGTTCTTGTATAAAGGTTCTGTCGCGCACTCTTTGGTCAAAGTCTGTAATTCTGGATCCACTCTTCTCTCGGTCTTTGTCTCATTGTTCGAAATTCAGCTTTTCTTTTTGTTATCATGAAAGCTATACGGTTCAGGAATTTCTGTCACAGTGACTCACTAGAAACTCAATAGAAACGAGTGAAAAGTTCACTCATAAGCTGCAGTAAATATAAGTATCCTCCGTGCACACCATAGCCTACGAACGGCAGACGTTTCTCCTCACTCATAGCCACTGAGGGACTCGTGAAACGTCCCTCAGCGGCGATGAGCGAGGAGAAACGTCTGCCGTTCGCAGGCTATGCACACCAACTCGAGGTCTCGACTCATTTGACAGGCTAATATGCTAGCTATATCTGTAAAAAATGTACCAGATTTATTCGACGTTTAAGAGCCTCCCTGACACCGTGTTCCCAGATGACTTGAAATTCCCTCTCCTCGATCATCACAGACAGCAATGTTGACCAAACCTATTATGTTTTAGGAAAGAAACTAAACTTAATAGATAGTCTTTTCTAACCATCAATTCAGTCAAGTTTCTATTTTCTCTGGGCATCAATAAACACTGGAGCCTAAACCAGTACGCACTTGTACTGAGGCTGATCATGAATAACTTTGAGAAAAAAATTAAATATCACACTAAGGAAATGGCAGCTTACTTTCTAAAACAGATATATATTAACTGAATGATTATGTGTAGAATGGACGAATGATCATCTTACCAACTCTTATATACTGCACATCGCACATCAAACGTAATTTAATCATAATGACTGTCTAACAAGCCTTCAGCCGCCACAAACACTTAAAACACGTACAGTCGGCGACAAAATATTATTGGGGAATCGATATTATTGCAACGTGTAAAAGAACTTAGAAGATGATGAAGAAGAATCGAGGGGATGGACGTAACATTATATTCGTTCGAATTACCCGCTTCTCCCAGCCACGGGCAATTCCCATTGGCTAAATTTCGATGCAAGATGTCACCAAGCTGTCAAGTAATGTTTTCAACAAGTCATTCGCGATGTTCCCTACCGTGGTAAAGTACTAATGCTTTCGCTGTAAAATGACGGATGTTGATCGCCTGGATTTGCTCGCAAGAATTGGGATTTGTTTTAAAATCGGAGCAGAGGGAAGCTTTGGAGTTGCTACTCAGAGGAAAGGATGTTTTCTGTGTTCTACCAACAGGATTTGACAAAAGCCTTATTTATCATGTAGATGTTTGTTCATGCAAAGAGTTCTTCAAGTTCCGTGCAACGACCGACCGTCATTGTTATCTCGCCTGGTTAAAAATGTTGGATAGGTAAGAAACACACGACTTTTACCTCATGCAAAAATGCTGCTTGTTCCAATGAACTGTTTTCTCTGTCGAGTAGATTATGCTTTGGAGGAAAACGTTTTGACTGAGCAAATGTGAATTTTGGCCGCTTATTAAATATATTTCATACTGAGACGTGACACGCACAATAATTTGCCCTCTGACGCAAGAGCATTTTCTTTCTTGGCCCCTTTAGAAATGTAAAGCTCTTCACTGCGGCTGATTAAGGGTTTTAGGTTGTTTTATTTCTCCAAAGTGCCTCCTGGATTTGAATAATTTTAGTCGATTTCTTTGTGTCCGTGAATGTGACTTTTTCCTGCAATGTTTTGTCTCGCTGGGCCCAGCTCGTTAGCGTTTTTAGCAGGATTTTCAATTCTCACAGATAGTGATATACAGAGCTAAATCACCAAGACGTGGATTGGAATGAGGGGATTTACTCATTCTTTTCAATCGCAATAATTGTTCATTGTCAGTTGGCGTGTTCAGTTCTTCTGTAATTTGCGAAAGCATCGCCGTGCAGTTTCCTGGTCCAGTTTCTAACCTTTGTTCCACACGGAGAGCAAACTCTTGTGGAGAATAATTCTCCTTCCTCGAGGACAACGAAAAGTTCGTTTTTCAGTAGGTCGGCCCACTTTGGTAACGTTTCCTCTTATTTGGTAGGCGCAACAAACACATTTTCCGAGCTTATCCATCCCTTCGTAAAATTGCCGAACTGTGTTTTTTGAATCAACAGCCGCACATTCTACAATTTGTCCGAAGCCCTCGGCTCTTTCGGCTTTCTCCCTCTTAGAGGAGCAGGCACAGGCTTTGTTGTCGTACTGCCACTTCCACTCATTTTTGATCCACCACTATATACACTACATTTCGCAGAGAAGCAACGCTAAAAACTGCTTTAGAATTACTGGATTACACCGTCAAGATTCGAAGCCAAGTGCAGGCAATAACACGCGCCCTCGAAATCAATCACCGAGTGTATCAAATTCACCAAGAGGGCGGAGTTGAGAACTGATTTTTGACAGCTCGACGACATATTTGACCCCCCTGGTCGGAACGAACTCATTGTATGGAAAACGGACAGTCGTTTTTTTTTCTCTCCGTCACACGCCCTACGGGGGTGTGAGGCTCGCGCGAATGGCGCGTAAGGCTCTTACGCCACGTTTTATCGATTTCTTTACAGATTTTGAGAAAAAAATCGACTGTTTTGCAGTCTAACGTAACATCGTACCTGAAATTCTTCTTGTCGCAAATCTTTCAATGCGTAGAACAAGTTCTCCCTAAAGTTTTTGTCCAAAAAGGTAAGTAAGGACTGAACAGCCCTTTCAAAAATGTCTTGGGAACTGTCATCTGCTTCTTTTGATGATGTAGACACGACGAAACCGCGCTTGGCCAATTGAAGGCTTTTGGCGAGAAGTTGAAAAATTCCAGAGATGACCTGGCTTTCTTTACGGATCGCCAATCCGTGTACTGAGAACAAATGATGTAAAAGATAGAAGGCAGCCTCCGCAAGAGACATCATTGCCTCGTAGGTAGATTCTTTTTTCCTTAAAAGAGGAAAAAGGAGTTAATTTTATGTAGTTAGGACATGAAGAATATGGTTAAGAGGATGAAAATGGTCGTTAACTATGTTCTTTTAAAAATCATGAGAGGTGTTATTTTCAACACTTGCAAAGATAGTCTCGTTTGTCGCAAAAACATTGCTAAGAAAGTTCGCTTTTTCGGTCAAAAAAATGCCATCGCTCTATTGTCTGACATCAGTTATTGTATGAAACACTCGTCTTCCTACCGCCCTCATCTTCCTCTTAACAACGAGTGCTTCTAAAAGTGATCCGGCAGACGCGAAACAAAAATCTTCCGGTTTGCTGGGAAAAATTCTCACCCCAATTTTTATTTAAAAAGAGTGTTATTTGACCAAACGATGCTCTCACCTGGCATATGCTTCGACTTCAAGGCACATTTGACTGATGGTATTTTCAAGGGAAGCCCACTAAGTAGAAAAAAAAAATCAACAGAGATATATAGTCAAAAAAGAAAAAGAGCTGGTTTCAGCCAGTTAAAGGGTTGAAAAACTTTATATCTCCTACAGTTGATAGGTAAGAGCAATTGTTTTTCCAACATTTATCCTATAAATAGGGCTATATATTTGCTCATAAATTATTACGTGGTCATCGATCACACTTTTGAAAAAGATATTACCGGCTTAGGGTTGGCGTTTTAACCAATTTGAAACAAAGCTTGAGCAATGACGACGGCAACAACGACGAGAAGGCAAAACAACAACTCAGCACTGTCACGTTTCTTGTTTCTTCTTTGCCTTGCCAGTCTCTAAAACTTTTTATGAGGACGTAAACTCACGACGATAAGTGGACGTATTCAACTCCGGGCAAATTTGAATGACAAAGATAAGCCTTGAGAGAACAACGCGAATTTATTTTTAGTAGTAATTCGCCCTCGCAACAAGAACTCAATAATTCAATTAACCCTACATCTAATAGGATCGATCAGATCATTGCAAACGACCCAATCCGCAAGTTAACTGAAGGCGGTGTTCGATCATCTGTCAAATCACTCCGGGCCATAGTCAAGAAATGAAGATATCTCGTTACCTCTTCTTGAGACAGATACGGAGGATCTCTCTCTTCCACAACTCGAGCGAGAGTCCAGCAGACTTCGTGCAATTCAAATAGATTTCTTTCTAGTGCCCTACCAAGGTCACAAATGGGAAGAGCCAACAGAAATGTCCGCTTAAATAACGGATCGACCTCGAACATCGGCGTAAGCTGAATAAGAAGATTGATAGGGGTACTGTTGCTGCAATGATAACAACGCAAACACTTTTTACAAATTTTTTCTTCACTTTCCAAAAACTAGGGTATCTAAACAATTAACTACTCAAAAGCATGAGTAACAACATACGATCTCATGAACTTTAATTTTTACTGAAGAGTATTTATAAAACTGTGAAAGGTTTGAACCCAGGTGTCATTTGAATTCATAGGTAGGTGGAGCATTATCGTCCGGGTGAGTGTAGTCCTGAAATAGGACCGTCTTTGACAGTGATGTACGTTTAGCAGCCTATGCGGTAGTCATCTTCAGAGTCAAAGTGAGTTTTATCAAGTCAGTTGATGTTATCTAACTCTGGTTATTATCCTGATTGGTCTTTTGAGTCGCAATGTTATTGGTCGGTCTGTCAATTAAGCCGTGATGTTATTGGCTATGAAGACTCTTAATATCTTTGGTGAGTTTCGATCCTTCTTTTGTGACAGCTAGTTTAATAGTCGTTCATTGTTAGTCAAATTATCGGTTGTCTGAGTCATGCTGTCGTTGCCAGTTTTACTCAGGTCCATCAAAAAGTGGTTTGCACGGTGCCTGTAACTGTGGACTACGAGTGAGTGGCGTTCACTCTAAGTTAGTAAACCAGCTTTCAAAATTGAATCGTTGATGGCAGTCTGTAGAATACGTAATACATATAGCAGAATCCGGCTGGTACACGATATATGAAGTGAATAGTCGATTTGATGTTTCGTCTTTAAATGGTGTTAAGTAATTTGCTGTTGACATCACCATTTCCTATCGCTTGTTTGTGTTCAGTCAATCGCGTTCTATGGTTTCTGCCGGTCTCACCAATGTGAGTGGCGTGACAGACACAGCATTTGATCTTTTCGGTTTGGTCGGTAACTTACGTTACGCATGCGTCCAGCCATAACACCCTGGTAATGGCAGCCATATACATTTGTACAATTGTTTCGTTCTTGTAAGGCACCACTTCTTGTAAGGCTCAAATGCTTTGTCTGTAAGTTGCGGGGGACTGTGATTGCAAGTGAGACACTTTCGCCTTTAGCATGCGTCCTAATAACAACAAATGCTGGAGGGTAATACGGATGTGTGCATGTGTAAGGTAATGGAAATAACGCGAAGCGTGGTATTTCTGTGCTTCTTACTGGATTTTGTTCGATTAGCCTGCGAATACGGCCACCTCTCATCTATCCCTAGTGGGTTCGGGGGTGTTTCGCAAACTCGTCTCAACAACGAGGGGCGATGAAAGGTGGCTGTGTGCGCAGGCTACTACTCAATATGTAAGTTTTTTTTTCAAATATAGTCTTACATCTTTTTTTCGCAAACGACAGTATAGGTAGATTTGGCAAATAACTAATTGGTATTTACGTTACTGTCGTATGGAACATCTCTTGTTTAGCAGGACTATACTCACGGCATCAACTCAGCTCGTTTCCAAACATTCTGAAAATTTATTTCTTGCGCTCCCCACCAAGTATCGTCTTTAATTGAACTAGGTGCTGAGGATAATTCACCAGAGTATGGCGCAGCAACTTCCGATAGAAAATGAAGCAGAGGCACCACAAAGAGCCAATGGTAGATTCCAGGGCGATTCTCAATAACATAGTTGCAGATTCGCAACAAGCTATTGGCCACTTTACTATAAAATTCAATAAAAGTTGAATTAGAACATTTCAGTTACTTGTGAGCATCGTTCCTTAATTATGTGACAGTAAAAGTAAGTAATGACCATATCCATCTGGCTTCATGGTGGTGGGCAATTTCAAGTTGGAAACCGACAAATCAGTCAAATAGTAAGCTCATTGATGGGCCGCGGAACCTTTTTTTGTCTGGCACTGGAAAAACATTTTACACTTTTCATTTTAACGCTTCTATTGAACAATCATACCTCAACGCAATTTATACCTCAATGGATATAAACAGAAACCCATAAGGGGTTGAAACGTGTAACTCGCGTTCAATGCTTGTGGATATTCACTTTGACCATATTTGGAAATCTTAGTGACGGATATCCATTTTCAATAAAATGGCTGCTGCGCGATCACCATGCAGATGTTTTAAGACAAGAGTTCTGCATTTCAAGGTTAAAAATACACCGTTAAAAGACAAAAAATGGAAAGAGAAAGTTCAAAAGAATGCTCAGCTTTCTTTTTGTGGAGAAAGGGAAGCTTTTCATCAAGAAATCGTCCTTCGAGGAATTCAACCTTGTTTTCTTCACGGCGGAGCCCATGGTCTGTTTTGAAATGCAACCAAGTCAGCGAAGTTTTTGCTGAATTTTCAGGTACATTTTGTACTCTATGGCCAAGACAATTACGTTTTTGAAAGGGAATTTATGTGTTTTTAAATGTTTCATAGACGTTTTTTAAATTTTTCTCTTCGGCGCTAAAGAAAAATTACAAAATGTGCCCTGATTTGAGATGGATTTTGTGTTGAATTTTGTCATGTGCTTAGCCTATGTCACTTGCGTGAACGGATCCACGATCCAGATAGTGTTTTCCGAATTGCTTTAAAGGATTAACTTTTTGGACTTTGAATAAAAATTTTCAAGAAACGGCTTCTCTGTCTATTATTTTCAGTTTGTTAAGTCATAAAATTAGCTCAAAACATGATCGTGACTACAACATCTAAGTTTAATTTAAGATGCTTCTCACATTCATTACAAGCATCACTTTTTGGGAAGATGTCAGGTTCAGGTTTTGGACACTTTCGATACGCAGCTAATGAATTTTATTCGAAAATATTTTTCACTGTTTATTCTAGACTTTTAACATAAAAATTCTAAAAACCTATTTTCAGTATAAGTTTACTGTGCAGAGGGTCAACGAGGCATCGTTTTTTGAAGTGACAACTTCAAGAAGCTGCGAGGCCGTCAATGGGTTTCATAATGTTACGTTTGGCCAGGGAGGTAAGGCAATAATATCCTGCTCAGTGTTTCGGTAATATTCCTGATTTCAACCATTGAAAGCTTTCTCGGCTTTCGGGAGTTTTTCCCCCGTTTGTCGGCCATTTTTTTAAGCGGGCTCGGGAACCTGAAGGAAAATTACGTCACGTTGTTTACGAAGTTTGATTGGTCAGTTATCTCTTCTTCTCGTTCCAAGTATGGTACTTTCGAAAATGAATAATCACGAGCATCGGACAAAGCAAACATATGAGAGTTACACGTTTCAACCCCTTATGAGTTTCTGATATAAAGTAAGGAAGGAACACTTTGAAGTAATGTTAAGGGGGAAATAAAGTATATTTCATAACATAGTATTTTACCTTAAATGTTCCTTTTGGGGAAAGTGATGGAGAATCGCATTAAGGCCACTACATCTCCTGCGATATGGGTCCCCATTTAAAGTTAGACATTCCAAGAGGTCTTTTATCACATCATCTCTAAGAAATGTCATTTCATGATAACCGACAAGGGATGCAATGATTGCAGCGGTAACCAGTCGCTTGTTTTGAAGATACTCGTCCTTCGTGTGTACTTGTAGGCTTTGTATGTTTTGGTGTAGCCGCGGTGAAAGGTATTCCCAAAGAACCTTACGAAAAAAAATAAAACTATAAATTGTTGTTGTTATCCATAAAACTGTAAGCGGACACTTTCAAGTAAGGAAGCTATTAGTAGGAATAAGGGAAATGAAAGTATTCGAGTGTTCAAATAGAAGTTGAACGACTTGAACGACTCCTTTAGTTAGGAAGAAATAAAACCTTGTTTTCAATACAGACCTGCTTGGCATCAAAACCAGTTAGATCACGAGTGTAGCAATAACCCCCATTCTCAAATACGCAATTTAACATGCAGTGCAGTATTTTATTGATCTCAGCTAAAGCAGCATGGGCGGTCAACCGTTCTCCTCTATGATCTGCAAAGATACTGTCCAATTCAGGAAGCATAGCAAACATCGCCATCCTTCGGCCTTCCACAGGGTCTCGCACAATTCTTCTTAACGGTGGAAAGTGGCTGCAGAGAGATTCCCATAATCCTGGTTCACTGAAGACTGCATCGTCATACTGATGCCATGTAGCTGTGTCATTTTGTTAAAGAACAGAATACGAATTAGACGCTATTTTTAGTTGAATCTAATCCGGTACAACTAAAGGAACTGGAATTCAGAATATCACTTTTATTTTTCTAATGTGCATGTGACAAGCAATATTTAACAAGTTTCGACTCTTAAAACCACAGTGTTTTTGCATATGCACGGCTTAATAAAGACAAGAAGTTAGTTTTGAATGCACTCACTATTTCCTTTAATGGATGATTCAGGAATGACAAGTAAACGATTTACATGGCCAGACATGCGAGGCTTGAATCCAATAAGACACTCCCAAAGCTCTTTTCCATTTGGCTGTAAAACGGCGTATTTATATGAAACACCGTTATGAGCATCTTGCAAAGTTAGCTTAGCCCTGCCTTCCAAAATGAAGTGGCCGTTCCACACTTCCCTAAGAAAGTAACATCATCCAAAGTAAACGGTTTTTTTTGTCAGTCATGTCATGCATAAATATATATAATCAAAACTGTGCCAACAGTCTTACCTCTCAACGCGCATCTCGAGTTGTCTTCCAGGATGCCACGAAAATGGCGAATTTCCACGCAGGACCACTTTATTATAACCTGGCTGAAAATTAAATGTGGGAGTAAGCAGCGCATGAAAAACAACATTAATACAGTCTTTATCTAAACGGGATCTTTCCATTTTAGCGGGGCTGTGATCAGGCCTTCCCTCATTGTTTTGCAAGTTGTTCTTGTTTGACTGAACAGTGGGTGAACTTCCCTTGTTATCGCCAGATTGCATGTTGACCTTTTTAAGTTCGTCTTTGGATATACTTGTACTTTCTTCGGTGTTCTTAGAAGACAAATTTTCAGCTTTTTCTGCTGTGGAAATACTTTCTTTATTCGGATTTTTAATGTTTGCTGCCACCTTCGTTTTTGTTACTACAGTACCAGATGTTCCAAAATCGTGCCCACCAGACTGATTAACATCCTTAGCGTCAACGCTTTCGAGTGGAGTGTTCTTTTTGTCAACAGGATTGGACTGCAATCCACTTTGGTTCTCAGACGCTACCGCTCTCTTTTCATCACTTTTTTCATGTGTTTCGTTAACATTACCACCTCTAACATTAACTTGGTTACGTTCTCGATCAGAACCCCTCTCAATTCGTTTTTCATCAGGACCTTTTGCAGCGGATTTTCCAGAAGTACAGCCTTCGTGAACTCCTTGTTTTTTATCACCATTTGTATCAACTGAGCCACGCTTGTCGGTTTTCTCATTCTGACTTAACTGAAATTCATCGGAACATGGTTGACTAGTAGGTTTTGCGTCATTTCTCAGATCGGTGGGTGCTGGTGATATTGTACCACTGTCTGGCACTAGAGCATCATGGACTTCATCATTCTGCAAGTCTTTCTCAGGAAACGATCTTAACGTAAAGGAAAAAGAAATTCTTAAAATTATCCATTCATGAAACTCCCACATGCTCAGTAGTAAATAGAAATCGAAATGGAATCGTCTTCCATTAGTCTGTTTACAGTCCCCACTTTTCCGTGGAATCGTCGAGACCGAGCTCGTCTTGCCGTTAATGTCGGCCATCTTGATCTCAAATATATGTACCGAGTCTAACCTAGGGAAGAGTATGAAACCTACTTAGGGGGCGGGGGACGGTTTCGGAGGAGGCGAGAAAAATATTTTCTAAGAAGCGCTCGATCTCGACAATATCACGGAAAAAAAGGACTGTGAACAGTCTAGTCTTCCATCTGAATGCAAAGTCCCTCGAAGACGACCCAAGAAAGACATAAATGCACGGGTAAATCATTTCGTTTCATTGCTTCAGTAAAGCATTAAAGTACAACGTGGTGTTTCCATCTAATTCAGACGAACCTCTTCACCCAATCCCCGTCCCAAAAGCGGGCTCCCAGCTGAGGCTATCCGTAGCCTACAAATTGATCATTATCAACTCACTATAATATCTACTTACGATTATGGAATAAGATTTAGGCTACGTTAACACGGAACCGGTCGAATTCTCGACCGGTTAAAAATTCGTACGCTTGGTGTTCCGTTCACACGGAACCACGTTAACCGTACGAAAATTTGAACGCCTAGCCGTTTAAAAACTTAACCGCTAAAATCGGGGTCAAACTTTTGACCGGTACGGTCGAAAATTTGAACGGCAAGATGTGAACACCGTGACCGGCTAAACGTTTTGTACGGCAAAGGCGCGGCTGCATGGGTGTGTGGTTACTTAGCTGGAAAAGGAAGGAAAAATTGCACACAGATATTGCGAACATGGATTTACAAATCGTGTTCATACTCGCTTTGCTTGAAAATATCAGGGTTCCGCAGTTCCGTGTGAACAGCGCCAATCACGGTTCGACAGTGAACAGCGCCAAAATGTTGACCACTTCCGTGTGAACTAAGTGGCCACTCAAATTTTTCATCCGCTCGAAAATTCGCCACCTGTAATGTGTGAACGTAGCCACAGATAGCTTTTCTCGGAAGCTCTGTTTAAAATTCTACTCTTAACTGTAGCTTAAGTCACATCATCTACTTACTGAGATGATTCCCTTTGTATGTTATCTTGAATGGTGCTCCCTTGCTCTCCCTTTATTAGCGCTTCCCCATTGCGTATCTGTTTTCGAAGAAAAAAAATGTAAAGTTAATTGCAGGAAAAAACGGCTTTCTGGTAGGTAATTCGGACCAAATTATTATCAATCATTGTACATTTAATAAGTGTGATTGGCTAAACGGCTTAAGTAGCTTTACTCAGTCATAAGTATGTTCTTGTTCTGTACCGTTTTTTCGAATTATCTGATTTGTTTTCCTAGTAGGTCCGAAAAGTTTAAGGGATTCCACTTTTTAATATCACTTTGCTGGCTCTAACTCAACTCGGTCCCTTAACTTATTTTATCCATATTTTATGGCATTAACACGTCATTCAGAGTTCGTTGTATTCCACGTAATGACGTTCTTACAACTTGAATTCCTTACGGAATTAGGCTTTGTCTATATAACTTAACAAAATATAAATCTTTCCTTTTATACTAACCTCAGAGGGCTCAGTACGCGACATGCTTACTGCAGGTGCCTCCTGTTTCTCTACATCTTGGTCAGTAAGTCCAGACGCCGCGGGACCATGTAAGTTCGTGTTTGATAACTCTCGTTCTGCTGTTCCTGAGGTTTGAATATTGTGCTCCACTGCAGGCTTTGTGTCTTGAGCATTCCCCTGTTTTGTTGGCAATGCGTTAAGCTGTTCTACATTAGGAATCTCTTTTAGAGGTTCTTTACGGGCATCGCCATTGTCTTGCACAATTACCTCTTCATTCTCCTCAACTTCACCCTCCTTCTTGTCCCCCTGAGGAGCTAACGAAGCCTGAGACTGAGAGGGTTCGGCTGCAGCTGTTGAAAAATTAATTAAATTAAACATTGAAACACGGTGGGACCAAGCCACCACCCGGAAGTATCACTAAAGCGTGGTATTTGAGGTTAATGGACGATAACGTTTTAAGTTTTAACTCTTTGTCTACCAAACTTGGCCTGAAAAATACAAGTATATCTGTTTACACCTGTATTTCTTTAGAACTGTATATCTGTCTATACCTGTACATATAATCAGGCCAATAAAATTGGCATATAAGATGATACAAAACGTCAAATTATGACGTCACATTTGCTGACATCATTCATACGTAAATTTTTAACTTCTGGATCCTTCAATTTGTTATACCGTTTTTAAATTAACAAATCAAAACTCTTCAAGGCAAGTTTAACGCCAAGATATGACATTTCAAATCTGGAAAACTCTGTTGCATCAGTTTAAATTGAAGTGTTTTATCGTCGTTTTCCTGCCGAAAGCTAAAAGAAAAACAAATTTGAAAAATGAAATTCCTAACTGGTCCAAATCCAAGAATACAGTTTTGTGAATTCACGTAGTCATTTTTTGTTTTCCTTAAATTTTTGAGTCAAAAATGGAAAATCTAAAATGATACCAGACTTGGGGCAACTAAAAAAAATTCTGTTAAGGAAAATCAGCTTATTTTAAAAAATATATATATATATATATTAGAATAAAAACACAGGAATTGTTTTGTTTTTCTTTACGGAAAAGTACGTTTCCGGGGAAACGCACTAAATTTCTTTGAAGTCCAACAAAGTAAGTCGAAAGTGTCGTAGCGAAAATTGGTTTTCAGTGCCTTAACCCTTTTCTACAGCTCTAACAACAATTTCATCAAGCCCTTTTAATGACGTCATCCTTGGTGACGTCATAATTTGGCATTTCGCTTTAAACAGATACTTAAATATTTTTGGCCGTGACCTGGCAAAGTTTGGTCATGAAATGAAATCAAATACAAAAGATTTCTAAAATTAGCCCTTATGTCACCTTTGATGGGTGGTTTGGCCCCACCGTCAAATGGTAAAATGAGATAAAGGCGGATTAAGCTCGCTGAACTCATTAGTTGTTTCGACGTTTAGGACGCTCTGCCTTTTGTATTGACTTTCAAACAAAATGTGCATTCGCGGACAATGCCTTTAAACCCTTCACATTCTGTAGATAGCATAGTTGAAAGTATGTTCATTAGAATACTTTCGCATGATTTTTTCTGGCAAATTTGCTCCTGCACTTTCCAGGCAAAGAAAATTTCGCGATAGTCATAAATGCTTATCAAGTCCATGTTGTAATTCACGTGTTTTACGGAAGAAGTCTTGGAGCTGCAATGTAATGTTCCTTATAAGAATCCATCACATGGATAAAAAATCGGGCAAGAAAGTTATCACAGAACTAAAGTAGAGAGTTTTTTAATTTATTTTTTTCATAAACAATATTTATTGCAACATTTGCTCTAAAAGCCTAAAGGGCTCATCTAGAGAGTATACGCTGTTTACATTAAATTTTTTAAAAACAAAAATGCACGTCAAGATCGAACACACGCACATAAAAAAGCGGAAGAATAAAAAGAACAACAACAACAACAACAACAAAATATAAAAAACACACACAGCAACTAACAGAAGCGATTTGATAGCAAAATAAACGACTGGCGACAACCTGACGTTAATTTGAAAATCAGCAGTAGAAATACCATTCAAAAGGCAATCGATTTTTTCCTATCTGAGGCACAATGCCATCTATTTCCAAGTAGTTGTGGAGCGGAGGTAAACAACTTTTCACACAGAGCAGCAAAAGTTGGGCAGTATCGGAAGTAATGTTTCGCGTCTTCAGTAGGTGGATCGCAAAGAGCCCAGGCAAGTGAAAGAGAGCAATTTTGCTGACAAAGGTGATAATCTAAGGCACTAAAATTAAGTCTCAAACGAGTGTGAAAAATTAACGCTGAACGATCCCTGATATAAAAAAGGTAGCCGCGGGATGGAAAATGCAGGAATTTTAAAAGGTTGCGTTTGAAGATGCCTGGAGAAGACTATAGTAGAGGGTTCTGTGGTTGTCAACTAGTGTTGCCTATTTTTTGTTCTTGGAGAAACGCCAATATTGTGACCTTGGTCTTTTCTTTTTGTTTGTCGCCTCGCCCCGCTATCCACAACTTTCTATGTATGATGGAGAGTGAGAACGTGCCTTGAGGAGGACTTTCACTGGATCTGTCCTAAAAAAGGACCTGCAGTTTTGGCTAGTGTGACTAAAAATTTGTTGGTAGTCGCGCAATAAGCTTCGTGCGGATAATGAAGAAATCTCATTTGCATGAAAGATTTCCAGGGTTAATGATGGTTTTAAGGCTATCATACCGATCACTGTTCAGTTTTTGATCTCTTTGCTTCACAAAATTTCTTAGCGAGTGCTCCAACAGCCTCGAACGCGCGTGTTTTTTTCCTCTGACTTGTTGGCTTCTCTTTTCAATTTCACTCATACCTCACTTTTAACGTTTATCTATTGACACCCTTTGAAAATTTTATTATATTATAGGGACCAATCTAGAAAATTCAGATTGGGGTGGCCGGAAAACTTGCCCACTTGCCTGCTATATACGTAGATACTTTTTTTATTTTCCTGAGTATTCTATGCTTGAATATAATACAAAATATCATCAAAGAGAAAGGGGTGTCCGCGGTCCCCTCGACCCACCCCTAAATCCGCCCTCATGATGACAAATGTCTAAATTATTTTTGTGTCTCCCTTTCTTGAATTTATCACTTTCACAGCAATTACCGATTGATATTTTCATTTCTTCGGAAACAGTATTGATCATGCTTTAAATTAAAGTTAAACTTTCCTTCAATTTCCCCACTTACAATACATGACGTTTTCGCTTTTGTGTTGTGAGGGATAATTACCTGGTACTTCGTTTATAATACATTAATATTCTTTAACTACTTCGAGCCTTCTGATTGGATAAAAAAAAAAAAAAAACCTGTCGTTTATCTTTCGTGTCATACCGCTCACATTATTAAAAAACTGAAAAAATTCCCTACTTAAAGGATATTACAGAAAAACAATAACAAAAGTAAAAGGAAACTTTCTGATTGGCTAACTGCTGAAATAAGCCTGAGTTCCTAAACTGAACTTACTTGGCATGTTTCCAAAAACGTAAACATAAAATAAATGAAATAAAGCAAATAGATCTATATTGATCGCTCGTCTTCGGCTCGTGATTTCACCCTGGCTCATCACGGTGGCAAAGCAATAGCTTTGGGTTTGCAACCCTGCACGACTTGGCTTATGACTGATATAATGATAACTAGCATTAAAATCTTAAGGGTCACTGTTTTTAAGACGAGACACGTATCGATTGTTCTATCTGCCACAGCTGCAGCACTCTTCCAGTGAGTGGAATATATATCTTCTCTCATTCAGCCGTCATTTTAAACTGTAATGCCGTTAATCTATAGTCCATTGCAGCGAACCAGAATTTCGAAGCATTTTATCGCAGAAAAAAGCTGTAATAGTTTCTTCGATAGACTCAAAGGGCATAACCACCTATTAAGATGTTTTAATCGCAAAATGAGATGTATACATAGTTTGATTTTGTTAATATGCATCTCCTATCATTTTTATTATTATTATTTTATTATTTTTATGTGGAAATACTGCAGTTGTAGTGAATACTGTTCCTGATTAGTACTTTATTGACCTTTGCGGCTTTTCCACAAGGACAAGTCTTGTACAAGTTTATGGTCCTTAAAATAACTGTTGTTCCAAAGAGCAATACAGCGTAAATTCCATTTCATGCTTACTTTTTATACATGGAAGCGAATTTTTTGTGCAATCCTTTATTAATTGCGTGCCAAAATCAATTTAGTACATTGCACAAACAACGCGGCAACTAACGTTAAACTTACTTAGGATGAGGGTGAAACTAAGTAATAAAAGATAAAAAGAAGATCCACAACTGACCCGTATAAGGAGTCTTCAACTCATGATCAGGAACTATCTTCTGCGGACTTGTTTCTGATAAACTTGTAGCGCTTGATGCTGATCTGCCGTCAAGGAAATATCCACATTGGCAACAGAACCGATGATGCTGTTGCAACTCGCCGTTCCCACACTTGGGGCAAATCATATTTTCTCTGAAATTTTGTCTACATTTCTTGGTTTAACTGAAACGTTTTCTCACTGTGTGTACAATTACAACTCGTAAATCTAGTCGCTTTCCAAAGAAGAGACAAATCAATTCCAAGAAAGCCCCCTTTATATTTACCTACAACCCGTGACTTCTTGGAAACATGCAAATGTAAGCTCATTTTTCTTTCATTTTTCAAAAAAAAAAACAATAATAATAAAAATTCCCTGAAAGGAAGTTTATATGCATTTTGATTTGCTATATTTCTTTTCATTCATAAGTGATACCAGGAGAAAGAAAAATTACAGATAGGCTGATGATTTATTCTGAGCATTTCTAGGCTGGATGGTTTTGCTTGGATTCATAAAATATAAACTGTACTTCCGGGATAGTTTGTTAATCATCCATGCAGGCTTCCGGGATTCTTAGAAAATTCAGCGGAAGTTGTTTCGATATTAAAGGCATTTGTAATTTAAGTTCTAAAACAAAGAGTTCTGCGGGTAATCCCTGGAACACAACTGCCAACTGTTATTGGAAAAGGGTGTTTTCCTTTCTTTTCCTTTCTTAGCAGATGAGAATTAAAATTATTGCTCGGAGGGTAAAGGACTCTAGTTGCAAATAACAGCCTTTTTTATTACGAGTGATTTGTTCCTCTTGTTTCTTGAACCCATCGTAAAAGTCTTCAAGCTCACTTAATGCCAAGAAAAATTTATAATCTATTTTACAGTTTTTACAATCACGACCATCTTGAATTGAGAAATTACGTATGAGGCGGATCAAGAGTGAAAGGAGTTGCGCAATATTTCTAGTGGTGCCGAGTACGTTGTAGTAATATTGTCAGGATGAATATTATTTTAGGGAGAAGTTAAAGATCAAGAAATACCAAGGAGACTGGCCAGCATGAGTCTGGTTCAGTGCGGCTGTGTTGCCATAATAGGATATGGCCTATAGGACTGTTTTGAGAACATTCTCACTTCTGTCATTGAGCTGTAGCAAAGTTACGCAGAATACTGGGTATAAACAAGAGAGGATAAAGCTCAGAGAACGAATCCCCCATATAGGCCCTATATCCATAGTAATCTCTCTAAAGTTATTTTTGGAACGTGCCGGTCTTCCTGTGCATCCAAAAAACGGCTGCGAGGGAGACTATTCTTACTGCGGATAATATTTTCTCGCGCGTTGCGTGGAACTTCGTGGAGGGGCGAAAGTGCAAAACATGTCGGGATTGACACAATGACGTAAATTGATGTCATTATGAAGTCATGTTGTTGAATTTATTGGCAAAAATCCAATTCCATAATTTTTCCCTCCACGCTAAAAATACTCATTAAACAGATAGTAAGGTGTCTGAAAAAATCAAGAAGTTGACAAACATATTTAGGACACCTTACTTTTAGAGAAAACCCGGATAGCAGCTAAATTCCAATACAAAATCCCATCACAACGCACTCTCGCTGTTATGGACAGTATCTCATGGTATCGAGGTCGTCCGCATAAAAAAGTTGTACTTTCCCACAAAGATCTTGAAGCCGGAAGGCCGCAGTTGATGTGAACACTTTCCTCCGCCCCCACTTGAGACACTGGTGCTGAAAACTGTTCAGTGAAATGCTATAATTACAATAATAAATAATAATAATGATAATTATTATTATTACTATTATTACTATTATCATTATCATTATCGTTGTTGTTGTCGTTCTTGTCGATGATGATACTTATTATTGGGTTTACTTGTCCTCCGACCATACATTTCAAGTTTATTACAAAGTGCGACAAGTGTTATTACAAAATGTTACAGGTATTACTAAGTGCGACTATTATAATACAAAGTGCGACAGAACAAACCATCTTAGCCAACCACTATTAAATGGAAAGCGGCTGTTCATAAACGAAAATGAATTTTCTCGTGTTTTGGTTTCCCGTGCACTTATTTTTCTGGTGGTGAACAAAACACTGACCGCTAGTCCATGGACCGGACTACCCCGATGGACTACCCATATGGACAACCCCTAAAATGGACTAGCTACGCCGCTGGAGTTTAGTGATTTCCCTCTCTAGTCTCCATCGTTTTTTTCTCCTCGTCAATTTTTCACCGGCGCTCTTCTATCTGAATACCCGTAACAGGTTAATATTTTCTTCTCTACTCAAAAACTGTGCCATTTATAAATTGTTAGAAAACTGTTTCTTGAAATCTAAGTAGAGGATCTGTTCGCTTTTTTTATGAAAGTCACCTCAAATCTGTCACTGGACTATTTTTCCGTCTTCGGCGGCTAATAGGTCCAGGTCGTTGAAATGGAAAATCTTAAATAATTCCCAAACTTGGTCGCCTTTTGAAATTTAAACCTCAGCAGCGTTATATTCATTAAAACCTTACTACAAAATGAAAATGAGGGTAGACTAGGTTTTGAGCTGTGGCCACGGTTTGCTCGATTTTTCTCTGCATTCGCTCTTAACGTTTTCAGCTTATTTTTTTCTCTGCTCAACGTTTAGAGAATCTTTACTTAAAAGAATTTTACTTTCCCCTTCGCAAACGTAAACATATTTGTCATTATGAAAAATGCAAGATGAGAATGTCTTTTTAGCACAAAGCGATTTAGGGACGGACCATTAGAAAAGTTATGAGGGGGGGGGAGTTTTCGAGCTGCAAGAATTTTTTTATTCCTTGTATGAAGTTTTTTAGGCCATAGTATGAATATTTTTTAATTGGCGTGCATGAATTGTTTTTTATGTAATTTTCCCTTGCGCCAAAATTGTTTTTGTACTTTTGTACTCCGTACCTTAGGTAAGATTTTTATCTCGCTCAATAGTTTGGAGAAATCAGGTTTCAGAAAACAAATACTCGTTACCCTGTTTCTCGTTACTACTTTACGCCGTTACGGGGTTTACTAACAACCCCTGTTATGTTCCGACGCTGGACGCTAGACGTTCTTTAATATGTAATGTTTGCAGGATGTTGAATTATCGCGGTAAATTATCTTCAGCTCCGAATTGTTGCTTAAACCGAAGCCACACCAAGAACATTTCTCGGGCGCTGATACAATTCACTTTGTTTTTCTTGTTATAGGTGAATCGTAAGACTGGAGCGCGATGTCTTATAGTTCCTTTGTTTTGAATTATTTGAAGCTTTACCATATTAGCTGGTTTTACAGTCTATGCGTCTGTACTTCTTCTTGCTAAAGCACTCACTACACTCACATTCGTCCACAAAACGTATGCACGCGTCGTTTCCCTACGGCTGCAGTATACAAACAATTTGATTGGCGAACGTCGTGAAGCATTGCGTGGGACTTCGCCCAGCTGTCAAAATAGGTTAAATTAAGGACATATGATCAAAATTAAGAACATATGATCACTCAACTCTCTTGGGAACAACGGATCAAGGAGAAGGTTTAAAAATATCTTAAGAGGGATTATGATGGGTGTAGGGCCTATATGGGGGATTAGTTCTCTGGACTTATCCTCTCTTGGTCTCTCAGAACAGATCGTACGGCCAATGCCAATTCCGATTTTGTTAAACTCTCTGGCACGATTTGGTAATAATCCTCATCTCCAACAACGCATGCAACTGTATGAAGCAACCGATTATATGCATCCGCCATAACCTACAGCGTACAAGATTTTTTTAAAAAAAAATTATCGTAGCTGATAAGCCGTTATTGTCAATCAGGATTACAAAAATGAACCTATAGGTCGTTAGTCATTCCCGTTCAAAAATATGATACTGAAGTGGGAGATAAACATCAAAGCCAGGATTCGAGCCAGGACTCGAGCCAAGACTTCCCGCCATTTTCACCCCATACAAGTCCCATGACCATTAATAGGAGAGTTTTTGTGGCAATCATGGAAGGAAATAGGGTTAGGGTTATGTTAGGGTTAACAATAGAACACTCGTACAGTCAAGGAGAACATCACTCTGGTACTCCTTTAAAACCAAAACTCCTTACGTTTCTATTAAAGTGACATTTATTTTATTTTCTATTACAGTTTGATTGTAATTATTAGTTTTGGTAATAGCATGATTGGCATAAATACCATGAGTGATATTTCGAAATTGTTATAAGTAATTTCACCAGCCGTTAGGCCAGTGAAATTTGAGACAAATGTGAAATACCACGGGTGGTTTTTATGCCTAATATCATAGGTGACGAATTACTCCTTAATTTAGGCGCGAAATTTCAGCGTTAATTTGTAATTTCACATGTGAAATTACAAAATTGCCATGGCAACCTTCCGTACTTCTCAGTGTCAAGATGGCGACGAAATTTTAAAATGCCATGAATGAAGATGTCAGGGCACAAAAAGACGCTTTAGAAAACCTGAACACACGAAAGAGCACATCAAGAAGGTTTCTAACAGGTATTTTGTCGAAAAACTCCGAACTTAAGCCAAATTTAAGCTCTAAACGTTCGAGAGAGTGCAGGAGTTCTCGATCGATACTATCCAGGATAAACATGTCAAAAATCCAAGATTGCTAACTTAATTCGTCACCCATGATATTAATAGGTAATCAAATGGTATACTCGTGAAATTAGGGAATAATTTCACTTGCGTTTTGTCCAAATCCTAATAATTTCCCTCGCCTAAAGGCTCGGGAAATTATAAGGATTTGGATAAAACGCGCGTGAAATTATTCCCTAATTTCACTCGTCACCAGTTGATTACACATACAAATATCACATACAATAGACCTTGTCACGGTTTTCGACGCCATCTTGACGAGTATGCAAACGCGTGAGAAATTACAGTGTTTGTATGAGAATCTAATGTCGAATAATTTCCGTAAAACGGTTGTTCTGAAAAAAAAAATATCAATTGTAAACTAAAGCTACAAAGCACAGGATTGTCCTAAAAAATTATATGGGGGCGTACCTGTGCTTAAATTTCTCCAGAGGCTTGCTTTAGATTTTCCATATATTTGTCTGTAATTTTCCTGGGACTTTCTTACAGACAAATGTATAGAAAATTTAAAAAAGTGGTTCTAGGTCTTCAAGTGCATGTAACGCACTCAAATGTTTTCAGGAGAATCCTTAGGAGTGAAGCTTTAGTTTACAAGTCATATTTTTTTCAGAACAGCTGTTTTACGGGAAATTATTCGACATTAGATTCTCATACAATCACTGTATTATAATTTCTCACGCGTTTGCCTACTCGTCAAGATGGCGTCGAAAACCGTGACAAGGTCTATTCATGCTATCATTTGTTTATACTTCTACCCGCAAAGGTTTGTAATTTTCACATGTAGTTATTTCAAATTAAGCTGAAATACCACTGCTCAAAGCCAATAAGAGAATAAAGACGAGAATAAATAAGCTTGCACGATGTTGAGATGTTTCGATAGAAAGCGAAACTTACTGTAGTCTTGCGGATTAGAGGGTGTATCTACAATACAAAGGTAGTTTTTCTTCAGGTATTTTAGGGACACGTTATCAACAATTGATATGTCACATATTGCGGGGACCGCGGAGGGGGAGGGGCTGGTAGGGCTATAGCCCTACCACTTTTATTGCTGGGATTTATTTCATAGGATTCCAGTTGACATGGAAAAAATTTTCGTGGAATTCTTGGACTTTGCCCTGTGGAAGAGTGGGATTTTTGCTTGTCAGAACGATTACAACCCGATGTGCGTGCAAGGATAATAAGATGTAAGGCTCAAATGGAGTGAATTGACTTTTTCTCTGCTTTGCATCTTGGAGAGCACCTTTATTGCCACACCGATAATCTATCTAAGGATCTTCAGGGTACTAAGATGGCTGCTGTCAGTGGACAACGCCTGGCAAATCTAACAAAGGGGACGCTCACAAAAATTCGCATTGATCAAAGCTTCGACCATTTCTATGCTAATGTTGCCCGCAAGAGTGAAGGCCTGCTTGGCGAACCAACTCTTCCAAGAAAACGACACACTCCGGCCAGACTGAAGGTTGGTGCTGGTACACCAAGCTATCCCCCAAACTGCTAAAGATCACATTGTACGGGCCTATTATGAGGCTGCTATAGATAATGGTGACAACTATGAGGCAGAGTTCAGTTTCTTGAAGCATAATACAGGGAAGATGTTGCGATACAGGGGCGCTACCTAGGCACCTAAGTACTATGGAAGAAGGAGAAGATATCATGTTTTGACGAAATCCTGTTCAAGGGGGAGTGCACGCGCCTATGAGAGTGTCTCGGGCGTTTTGCTCGACGGACCAAAAGAAAAGAGAGACTGCTCGTAGTCTACGTAAATGCAAGATAAATGGCGGAACACTGAACTTAATGTTTCTTTGTATTGGCAAGATTTTTTAGCCCTACCACTTTAAAATGGTCTCCGAGGGCCCTGTATTGGCCATTTTGGAGATAGTTGAGGCTGCGGGCCGGTGTTGTGACGAAGTGCACTGCAGCTTAGGATGCTATTCTATATGAAGGTAGCGTGGCCGAGAAGTTAGAGCGCTGTGAACACTTGCAATCTGGTGGCCTCAATTTCAAGTCCAACCATAACCGCTTGCTGGATTTATGCTCGAAATCTTCAATCACGTTTTTAAATAGCCAACTGGTTTACCTTCTGCCAGTTGGTGTTTTTAACCCTTTTATGTTTATTTGAATTTTTTTGTTTCAACTGTTGTTCGCGAATTCCTAAGATAAATAAAGTTCTTCTTCTTCTTCTTCTTCTTCTTCTTCCTCTTCTCCTTCTTCCTCCTCCTCTTCTTTATTATTACTATAATAATAATAATTATTATTATTTCCATTAGGATATAGCGAAGTTACACAGGAGAGTGAGTCCATATTCGTCCCAAAAATAAATCCACAATGCATTTCATTTCTGCCACCAATGTATTTCACGCTCAGCCTGAAAATGGCAATCAGCGTCGTTGACACCAACGTGCAATATCCGTATTTTCACAAAACTCTCTACATATCTTACGACTATTGCCTTACGCCCTCGGCATTCTACAAATGGTATATACCCAGGGTTAATATACTCCAAATTTAACTTAAAACTAATTCATCTTGAACTTGGACCTGCTTACATAACCAGTGATGACTATCTTTGAAAATTCTGGTTGGTGGTTGCTGGTATCCTTTTCCAGTACCAACAAGGTCTAGGTACATTTTGATCTCTGTCATTGGAAAATCCTTTTTGACGATTATTTTCTCCGTAGCAAAGAAAAGAAACTGCATCCAATTCCCAGATCAAGTTAATTGCACGATGACAAATTATAGTACGTTAAAGTGCTTTTAATTATATTCACTGAAAACTAGAAATTTTAACAATAATTTATGGCTCAATTCGCATTAGGGATGGCTGTTGATTGTGTTAAATTAACAAGCTTTGTTTGCACAGATTTTAAATTGTAACATTTTAATATTTTGAAATTCTTGAGGTATATATTTGCCTTGCATGGTACTAAAAGCCCAGTGTAAACAACTAACTACAGCAGGTACCTTCCAAAGACCAAAACATAAGACTTAATTTCTGTTTTTAGGTCCCCCTTTTTAAACAGGGACAACTCTCTTTCAAACCCTGTAACGAACTAAGCTGAATTAAATAAACAATCTATTTACAGTTTATTTTTCATAGAGGCAGGGATGCTTATAATGTCTGTATCGCCCGTAGCTGTACGCTGCTGCGATGCGTATTTACGCTTTGTGGAATAGAGACCAATGCCAATGCTTGAGCTGCTGTTGTCTGTGTTGGCGCTAGTTTTACGTTCCTGCGATCCGCAATGGCGATCTGTGGAGTGGGGGCCAGTACAACTCCTCTAGATCTTGAAAAAGAATTCCTTATTAGCTTTAGCACTCTGGTCTTGCAGACAAAGGCCACAAATATAAATACTCCTTGAGTAGTTGTGAGAACTAGGAAAGGATATATCAGCGCCTTGTGTATGAGTTCGGCGCCGAAGCCGAAAAACCAAGTGAAGCCCATGAGTGTGACCAGGCGCAGGTATATTTTGAGGACGACCTTTTGATCTTGACGGGCAGATGTGACTCGGGTTGTTTGCTTTCTGGCACTGTTGATGGCCCATATGGTATGGGAAAACGCTCCAATGTTGTACAGAAGAACAGAGGCAATGGGAACAGCAAAAACAATGATCTTGCCATCGCTACTGACGAGCCAGCAAGCATCTTCATTGCCATATCCGATAAACACCACTTGGAAATGATTAAGAAGAACGCATCCACCTACAAACAACATAGGTAAGCCCCAGGAAAAGCACGTGTACTTCAAAAAACGAATATTCTTGTTCTGACCACCAATTGAGATCCCTGGAGCTCTAGAAATCTGACTGGAGAAGGTACGGTGAGTGTCGAAGGCTATGATGGCCATGCATGCAAAGGAAACCAGGAAAAGGTAGTGGATCACTGCCGCGACTGCAGTACAAAAGGTTGGTTTATCCGTGTCCCCTGAGCCGAACAGCCACATGAACTGAGCAAGGGCAAGGGCCAAGCACAAACTCATGAGATTTTTCCTCGGCAAAGGCCTTCGCAGTTCAGCAAAAATAAAGTGTATCACTAAAGTGAGGATGAGGGCAAGAAATGACACTAAAAAGCCAACGAAGGTAACATACCGCAGAAAACGGGACTCTTTCTTGGCAGTGATGTTGGGTTCTACAACCTGGATGGAAGAGTTGGAGTAATTTACTTTGTAGTTTGTGTAGTTAGGGCAAATCAAGACTTTTTCTCCGTTCAAATCGTATTCTCCAAGCGGGTAAACTCTTCCAGTGGTGTTGTGTAGTAAGGTTTTGTTGGCCAAAATGGTGTACTCATGAGGGTATATTTGTTGTAGAACAAATGGACATTGAATGGTAAAATTTGATTTGCACACCAAAAGAGTACTGTATTTGTTTCCTTGGTAATCGAAAAAAAAGTGGTATACAGACCGGTTTTGCACAGTCTTGTTTTGAAAAGCCTCACCGTTCTGTAATAGCTTAAACTCTCCTGGAGAAAATTCCACTGTTTCTACGCAGGCTAGTTGTCTTTCAGTGACGCGAATGACCTCCTATGTTTTGTCATTAATGTTGATCTCAAAGGATTTGTTGAAATTGAGGAAAATAGACACATTGAAGTTGTCTTTGTAAGGCATATTTGTCTCGTCATTTATCCTGAAAGGAGTCCCAGCGTACAAACTGAAACTGACTGCTGTGGAATTATCTTCGGAAGATATTACTATTTCTTCGATTTTTGAAGGATCTAGCGCAAACATTTTGGAAAGAGCGATACTAAATTGGTGCGTTGTCACCGGTTTCATTCGACCATCCAAAGGACGCATCCAGAATTTCAGGCGATACTTGTTTGCTTTTAAAGAATTTAAAACGTTGCCTGTCACGCAGGCTTTCAGATGTTGGTCATAAACCTTGTTTGGCGGACAGGTCGGGGGGAATTTCGTGACCTTCGTTTTCTTTTGGTTACTGGTTGGCGTTTTGAATTGCATGACTATTTCAAATGATTTAAAGTTGTCAAATTGAAATCTGAAAAACGGATCGCATCTTGCGTTTTTCATTGATAATCCATTGCAAAGCACACAGTGATAGTTCTTGTAAGGCTTATAATCCCAAGGTAAAAAGATAATTCCACTTGTACCCTTTAAACAACCATCTTTGTGTTCAGTTTGGTTCTCTATGGAACATGAAGATACCATGGGTATGCAAGTTCGAATTTTAAAATGTTCTGTTGGTAGAACGACTCTTGTTGGACAGTGTGTAAGTATGTACTCCAATGTTTGAGTGCTGTTGAAGCCTTGGGGTGGATTTATTTTGCATCGAAATTTTAGCTCCCAAAAAACAGGTAATATAGTCGTCACGTTATTGCAAATACCACAATAGATATTTCTATAATGGAGTCCTTGTGTAAGATTGAATGCCACTGGAATGCCTTCTAAGATGTTCGCCGAGGAAAAGTTGCGATCCATGGCATTTGTTCCTGCCAAACATTTCGAACGCACTTCTTCGTCTTTCCAATTCGCTGCACAATTTGATATCATGAGAACACTTGCAGCCCCTACGTTCAAAGTTGATGTCTTGATGCAGGTGTAATTTTCATTTTTTATTTCTTGAGGTACTGGACTTAATGGCTGACAATAACGTGTGTAATCAGCACAGCAGTCATGATACTTGAGACAAGCTTGATCGCAATGGCAGTGGACTTTAAATCTTTCTAGACTGTCCCACTGTGTTCGTTTCTCGCGTTTATCTCGGCAAGAGAAAAGCTGAGCATCCGGTCCCTCACATCCTGGAACAAGATCTGGGTTTGGAGAAGTTAAAACGTTAGGCGTTGCCGTTTGATGCCATGATGCCTTTGACGTGGCTGTGGAGCCGTGCACACGAGGCTGGAGATGGAACAGATGTAACGAAAGGAATAGGACAGAAGCTGTGAAATAAATGCGAGCTGTTCTCATATTTTTGTAGTTATATGCCACAACAGCATGGACTCAACTGTCAGTTCAATGCAAGATTGTTTTAGTTAATCTCCTTTGTGCCTACGTCAGTTATATACCCTATGCAGTTACCCAATAGTCAAACCGTTTCTTAGATAAGGGCGCACTCCATATGTGCTTTTCGAACTGAATTGGTGATATCAGACTTTTACGACCGGAAAGTGATTTCTTCACATAGAGTCTGTTAACTAATCAACGATGTTGATCGAAAGAACTGTAGCGTGGGTTGAGATGTCTGAAAAAGAGAGAAGTAGGAAGACATATCACTTTCATGAAGCCATTTATACATAACTAAAGGCGGTGCATGAACAAACAAAACCTTTATACCTTCTCTCAATAACATAGCTGGCTGTTTGTTCACAAACTAACCTCTCTGTTCAGCTTTCTCATTTATTTTATTTAATCTTCTGAAGTAATCAGCGGTTTTGAACGCGGCGTTAAATTAAAGGAACACGAATGCTTTCTATATATAACCTGAGACTCAGTGCTTCTCAGATCTCCAGTTCGTTAATTCCTTTTTTTACACGGGTAAATTCTTGAAATGGGAATTTCAAGAGATGGCGTAAGATAAAAGATTAACGTTTATTTAGACCGTTAAGAGTCACTTTATTATTCATGTGATACACTGAATTATACGGTGTAAAGTGAGCAAACTTCGGGTCTCTCTGTCTGAAAGAAAATAACACTCCAAGAAATTTTATATAAAAATTTAGTCACAAGCACCGACCGGAACAGTGATAAAGTTTGACGTCCCACTAATCAACGTTAGCAGTTGACTTAAAAACAACATGACACGCCGGAGAACTGAAGCTCTTGCTTTTTTTCTTTTTCCCCAGGAATAATCTTGGCTGCATTTAATATTTCGAGGAGTTGCGTAAAAATGAAATACTTTAAATTTTAAACAATCCAGGCATTAATAGTGATGGTCGCCAAGTGCCGCATTCGACCTAAAAGAGAGACCCTCACACATTTTGCGATTTGTTCTTTAGCCTAGTTTTATTAGTTTACTTCTTTTTTTCTAGGTTCTCTGCTGCCTGTTTATTAGTGAAAGAGAAACGGAACGCCTTTTTTATCAGACAAAATTTCTTTATATCGTAGAGAGGTCCAGTTTGAGACAAGTAAAGCCCAATTTCGACCACATACCTGCATTTTTATTGCTGTGTAAATGCTTTCACTCCGTCAAATGAAATATTGAAACACCCGCATAGTTCATTCAGCTTAACGCACACTAAATATTTTGATAAAAAGTTCTAGTGGGGCTTATGTACTGATCAAAAAACACAATAATATGCCTAAATGTTGTTATCGTGTTCCTATTAGGAAGTTGATTTAATTCATAAATTTGCTTTTGCTTATTTTTTAGCCAGTAAAACATCTGGGGAAAAAGCGCTCTCAAAAAAATTTCATATCCATTTTAAGTTCTATTTTCATTCAAACGTTTGGTTGCTGCGTAAGGTTAAATGTATACTCTACCAAAATAATTATTAAAATAAAGCATTACGGTATGAACGCTGTGGAAAAGGAGCTTGTACGGAACAGCTAGGGATGCCATGAAAGAGAGGTAGCCTTCTACTAATCATAGTGAACGAAATTTATTTCATTCGTGATCAAAGCTTTTGAACAAAAGATTTTTGTCAAGCTTTCTGATTTTCTCGATGCGTTATCATTCAAGAACGACAACCCAACCAAACTTGTCATGAGAATAAAAAAATTAAAAATAAAATTATGCCAAGTAGCATGACTATAATAACTGTGACACAGGAATTATCAGAAGCAAGAGGCTGTCGAAAGAGCTCATCTACGGAGACGAAATTCAAAAACACCATTCTGCCGTCGAACATTACATGTGTCACATACATTACACGTACAATACAATAGAAACTTCAAAGCGAAAGCTAGACACTAAAAACACTGCCCTTCACTTAAAAAACCCAAGGGTCACTTATAACGGCTGACTACCTTTAAAAAATGGTGACTGGAAGTCCAATCCAGAGTTCTCAGTTCCTCCTCTTGTTACTGAAGCTGACGGGAAAAAATAATCAGAAATCCATAAAACCTGAAGATGAAAAATGTTTTAGAAATACCATACTTTTCATGACAGCCTTAAACTGAATTAAAGGCTCGCCTATAGATAGTTAAATAGGAACGGCGAATAATTGCGTTTGTCAGCTATTAAACCCACAGTGGCAATTGTTGATTCAATTTGGTTATTAAGTGATGGCAGCGTCTAATGTATCCAAAGTTAAAATGGAGAAGACTGATCAATTATTTAACAATTATTCCACAAGTGCGCTTTGGATACAAGATGGTAGATCAGCCAACGAGACGCGCACCGCAGAGTTGGCTATAATCATCTTATATCCAACAAGCGCGATTGGAGTAATTGTTCTATTAAAAAACGCCCCCAAAATATCGAGAATTCGTCCCGACTTTATATGTAAAAACAAACGAATTTCAGCTTGTTTTTAATTTTTGAGCAGGCGCGTGCAGTTACCATTTTTGGAGAGCATGGGATAATGGCTCATATACTATGATGGCTAAGACAATCAGAACTCTAGAATTGTATTATCCAATGATTCAGTTTTTAATAGTTTCAGTTAGTAGTTGCTCGTGTACGGTAAAATCGATTTAGGCCTGATGGTTCACAAAAGCGCCCATGGAATACTCAATTAAGTTAGAGCCAGTATTATGATCGCAAGTGAAAATGAGTTAATAGAAAAAAACGAACTAACTAACAAACAAAAATAAAACAAATCATAAAACGTTTTAATTTTAAGGCTCGCCGATGTACAGTAAAAGAGGATTTTACGACACGCAATTGTGTATCTCAACTATAATAAAGCCACAATGGCAATTATAGTACCTGTTATTATTCTCTCTTGGTGATGGTAGCGACTAAATGGTTTAAATGGAGACGAATGACGAATGTCGCCCGGTGTAGTTAGTAGTTGCCAAGTTTATAATTATTGAAAGTCACCTGTTCTTGAGCTATCAAGTTATGGCTGCAGGTCACGAAAAATTGCCCTCGGAATAGTGAGGAATTCTTTACGTCACGTTGCCATGGTAGCAAAATTTCTGTATCCCGCAACAAACCGTGCTCCTGCAAATATGACAGAAAAAAAAGGAAGAAAGAATTGACATATATGACTTACCTGTGCATGATTGCACTCGGGAACAAAACAGTAGCCGATACTTCTTCTATCGTTCGACAATGTAAATGGCTGTCTCTGTCAAGAAAGATGATTGACATCCATAACTCTTGCTAAGATTGGTAACCTGACGTCACACTTCTCTTCTCTACATTCGATATATTCGTACGAGCCAGTATAACGATCGCAAGTGACATTGATAAAAAGGTTTCAAAGGAAAAACAAAACAAACACGAAACCAAACCAAATAAAAGTTATTCAATGTTGTATTTTACAGCAAAACGCTTTAAGTTATATTTCCTGCGCTAGAACGTGTGCACTCAATTTACGAAAAACACTAAGAAAACAAATTGCCAAATCATATGGAAACATATTCCCAAGTTAATCTAATGCAGTAGCCAACGAAAACCGGGAAAAGGTTACATGTACCAGCAAAAAATATAGAAAGTTGAAATACCTTCTTTCATAAACTACTCTAACACTGAATGACTGAGATGAATGCGGGTTTAATTACCGATATACACATGTTGTATACCAAAATAATAAAGGTTTCTCCAAAATTCTGAATAAGCACAAACATGAATTCAGGCGACGAAAGCTATGACGACTACTAGCCCTACGTAGAAGCATAAATAGGCCAAACCCATCCCACGAGGACTCGTGTACCTCTGAGGGGTCTCTAAGCTCGCAGTCAGATTATAATTTCTCAATATTTTTTTTCTCATGTCTCTTAACGGTCAGCAACATTTTCTGGAGGAGAGGACGTTCTTTGATATCCAAGGTAATTCCAGCACAAATAGAATAGTAATGCGAGCTTTTTATCTAGGGGTTTTTTAAATGGGGGATTCATTCTCTGAGCTTATCATCTCTTGTAGATACGCGCCAGTCTTCTCATATCCAACAAGGGCGAGTGGAATAATTGTTTTATCAAAAACGGCCACAAAATATCGAGAATTATTCCCGTCTTTTTTATAAAAACAATTAACCGAATTTCAGGTTTGAACAGACGCGTACAGTTGCCATATTTGGAGAGCATGGTATAATGGCTCATATACCATGATGGCTAAGCCAATTAGAGCTCTATAGAATTTCATTATGCAATGATTCAGTTTTTCATTCATTTATATTTATAGTTGAAGAGGAACGACGCACAGCTGTGTACGCCAAACACAATATCTATCTATTTTGTTGATAAGTGATAAGAAGCGGCTTATTTATCCTCATATAATTGGCCCTAATGGCAATTATAGTAACCGTTTTGTTAATACGTGATGTTAGCGACTAATGATAATGGCTTTTTAGTCTAAACTGAGACGGATGATTAATTACGCCCGTATCGTAAGTAGTTGCTAAGTTTATGATTATTGAAAGTCACCTGTTCTGTTAAATCATCCACACTTTTGATTTAAAGGACTTTGCCCAAAACGAAAATTGACCTTGTCATGAGTAGGCTTACAACTCCAATTTGCCTATTTGCGGATAATTTAAAAGTGAGGTTAGCAAAGAATTCCGACCTTTAACACGAGATGTTCAATGTGAAAGATTTAATATTTAGGATATATCAGTCATCTCTAAAGCAGATGTATTCTAATTAAAATACACAAATGTTGTATTTATAGGAAAATGCTGTTACATTTCTTACGCTAGACAGAA